AGGAGGAGGAGGAGGAGGAGGAGGAGGAGGAGGAGGAGGAGGAGGATGACGGAAAGAGTGTGCTCTGCCGCTGCTGGCAGAAAACCGGGGGGGAGGGTTATTGGGGTTTCCGACTCGCCCCGCCCCCCCCCGAAAACAGGGGGGGGGTCACTTGGGGTTCCGACCCCGTTCCCCCCCCCGGTCCATCACGAAAAAGGGAGGGGGGTCACTATACCGGTTCGAACCCCCCCCCTCGCCGCCGGCAAACGACTCCCCCTCCTCCCCCACTCCGGACAGTGGGACAGCGGTGGGGACAGCGGGGACAGCGGGGCGGTGGTGGGGACAATGGGGGCAGTGAGACAGTGGGAACAGCTGAGGAGAGTGGGACCATGGTGGGGACAGTGGCGGGGACAGTGGGGACAGTGGTGCGACAGTGGTGGGGGCACTGGTGGGGACAGTGGGGACAGTGGTGGGAACAGCGGGGAGAGTGGGACAGTGGTGGGGACAGTGGGGAGAGTGGGATGGGAACGGTGGTGGCGGGGACAGTGGTGAGAGGACAGTGGGACAGTAGTGGGGACAGTGGGGACAGTGGGACAGTGGTGGGGACGGTGGTGGTGGGGACAGTGGTGAGGGAGGTGGTGAGGACGGTGGTGGGACAATGGGACAGTGGTACAGTGGAGACGGTGGTGTGGACAGTGGGGACAGTGGGACAGTGGTAGGGACAGTGGGGACAGTGAGACAGCACAGTGGGACAGTGGTGGGGGCAGTGGGACAGTGGTGAGGACAGTTGAGACAGTGGGACAGTGGTGGAGACAGTGGGGACAGTGGGGAGGCTGGGACCGTTGTGGTTGGTGGGGAGGGGGGGACAGTGCGACAGTGGTGGGGGCACTGGCGGGGGGGGACAGTGGTGACAGTGGTGGGACAAGTGGGGACAGTGGGACAGTCGGGCGAACCGTGGTGGTGGGAACAGTGGTGAGGGGACAGTGGGGGCAGTGGTGTGGACAGCGGAGGCAGTGGGACAGTGGTGAGGACTGGTGGTGGGGGCAGTGGTGAGGGCGGTGATGAGGACGGTGGTGGGACGATGGGACAGTGGTGCAATGGGGACAGTGGTGGGAACAGTGGGGACAGTGGGGAAGTGGTGGGGACAGTGGGGACAGAGGGACACTGGTGGGGACGGTGGTGGTGGAAACAGTGGTGAGGGCGGTGGTGAGGGCGGTGGTGGGGACCCGGAAGTCGTTTGCCGGCTGCGAGTAGCGGGTGGGGAGGTTCGAACCGGTAGTGACCCCCCTGGTTTTTCTGGGGGCGGGGGGTTCGAACCGGCAGTGACTCCCCTCGGTTTTCCGGAGGGGGGGGAGGGGGGTTGCATGTGGGGGAGGGGTTTTGCCGAGGGAGGGGGGGAGTGGGGGTGGGGGGGTTCGTGCAGAGGGGGGGGATTTTTGGGAGGGGGGGGCAGGTAGACCTGGCCCGGCACAGAAACGGAAAGAGTGCTTCAGAAAGAGAAGCCGAAATTACTCACACCACCGTTCGTACCAGGAGCCTTGGCGTTGAGAGCTTGTTACGTCACCCCTCGCTCTTCGCTCTTGGGAGCCTTGGTGTTCAGAGATTGTTGCGTTGTCGCCCGTTCCTGAGCCTTGGCTGGGCCTTGGTGTCAGGAACTTGTTACGTCACCGCTCTCTGCTGGGAGCCTTGGTCTTATCAGCTTGGTTTCGTCACCGTTTGCTCTTGGGAGCCTTGGCGTGAAGAGCTTGATCGCCCTTTATTTGGCGTCCCTGGGCCTTCTTGAGAGTCCTATTGGGGCCCTTTTCGGGCCCTTTTGGAGGCCTCTTGGGAACCTCTTGGGGGCCTCTTGGGGCTTCTTGGGGGGCTCTGGGAGGCTCCCGGGAGCTTCTTAGGGCGAAAGGCTCGAGTTTCCGTTTCGTGGTCCCCCTCTTGGGGCCGTCTGGGGGCCCTCTTGGGCCGTCTGGGGCGCCTCTTGGGCCGTCTTGGCGCCCTCTTGGGCCGTTTTGGGGGCCTCTTGGGAGCCTCTTGGGCCGTCTTGGGGCGCTCTTGGGGGCCTCTTGGACCGTCTTCAACGCTGTGAAAGCCGAAAAGCTTTGTATGCTAAAATTTATTTTTCCCCATAGGAAATCAATGATTTTGGCCTCTTGGAGGCCTCTTGGGACGCCTCTTGGGGGCCTCTTGGGGCTTCGTGGGGGGCTCTTGGGGCCTCCTGGGAGCGTCTTGGGGCGAAAGGCTCAACTTTTCGGTTCGTGGTCCCCCTCTTGGGGCGGTCTTGGGGCCCTCTTGGGCCGTCTTGAGCGCCTCTTGTGCCGTCTTGGCGCCCTCTTGGGCCGTTTTGGGGGCCTCTTGGGAGCCTCTTGGGCCGTCTTGGGGCGCTCTTGGGGGCCTCTTGGACCGTCTTCAACGCCGTGAAAGCCGAAAAGCTTTGTATGCTAAAATTTATTTTTCCCCATAGGAAATCAATGATTTTGGCCTCTTGGAGGCCTCTTGGGACGCCTTTTGGGGGCCTCTTGGGGCTTCG